TTCACCACAACTCTCTGGGCTCGGCCATCCAACCAGTTTTTACCCAGTGAAGAGTATACCCGTCCAAGCCATGAGCTGCCAGCTTCCCAAGACAGCCTCCGACCACGACATCTCCCACGAGTCCTTCTCTGTTTGTAAACAGCAGGTCAAGTGAGGCACCTCCCCTGGTAGGCTCACTTACCAGCTGTGTCAAGAAGTTATCTTAATATGCCTAGGAAATTAGATGCTGGCTGGCTAAAAATCTTCACAAAATGTATCATCTGCACCTACTAAAGACTGAGAAAGTTTTGTCTTTTCCCCTCATGAATGGCACTCATTGCTTCTACTGCATATAAGAGGTGGGTCTGAAGCTCCTGCCAATGGCAGGTAGACACTTGGGGTGCTGACCCACACCGGGTTGAGTCCAGTGCCCTTGTCACCCTGCCCAGCAGGACTGAGGGTGACAGAGGAACTGCAATTGCACCACGGCCCTCCTTTGATTGCTGGGCAGGTATTGCGCAAGGGATGTGCACATTGCCACTGCACTCTGTCATCTGGCCCTGCATGGTTTAGCCTGGGGTTTTCTCTGTGTTCCTGATGCAAGACATACGATTAAATAATTTTTCAAATAAAAGAAAAGTGAAATGTATGCCCTGAAAACTACTGCTTTTAAATCCCTTGCTTGTGAGAGAATTATATGGTGACTTGATTGGCATTTTGGTGAATTTCCCCAGACCCTGTTGCTAATCAGTTTCCTATAGGAGGGATGAAAGAAAAAGGTCTATGAATTTAAACCTCCCGACTGTGTCTTTCTGTGCTTCCTGAATGTAAATGAAATTAAAAGAACACAGGTTCTCTTTCATTTTTCTTCTGAATGGGAGGCTTTTTAAAATCAAACCATTTTTCCCTGCCATCCAATAAGCAAACTGCTATCAAGAGATCTAATTAACTAAAATAGCTTCACATGGGTAGTGAATATTCGTTTGAAAAACAAATTCTAGGTTTTAGTCAATCCGTTTGCAAACATTACTTCTTACAAAACAGGAGAAGCATGTAAATCTGGTACACATTGAGTCACGGAAGTCCAAGAGACGAAATTCTGAGTTTGAGATCTTTGTGGACTGTGACAGTAACAGGGAACAACTGAATGAGATCTTCCAGCTCCTGAAATCCCATGTCAACGTTGTCTCTGTGAATCCAACAGAGCATTTCAATGTCCAGGAAGATGGTAAGTACCAAAGGCAGTTCTGATGAAAACGCACTTCTCTCTGTGTGTCCACATCTGTATTTGCGTGGTGTTTTCAATCAGTAGCTACCAGATTTATGCTTCTGTGTTGTGAATGAGTGTAGTTTGGTTGATACGAGCAGGGCTGTGTTGGCTGGTGTCACCCAGGAATACGAGCTGTTTCAGGCTGGTGCAAATTGCATGTCTGTTATCTGTGCTCCTGTCCCTTCTCAGCACAGCATAACTGGCACGAATGGGAGTCCCTGCACCTGCGCCGGCCAATGCTGGCAGGTAGGCAAAGTCTGAATGCAGGGCTTGGCTAGGGACTGTACACTGTGATGACAGAGGTATAATACTGACAGATCCCGGTTCAGTTCAGACATTGGTGAGAGCGGGAGATGGATTCTGCAATTTTCTCATGTAGCTCTTTGTTTAAATTTTTCTTTTTTTTTAATTTTTTTTTTTTTTTTTTTTTTTTTTTTTTTTTTTACTATTTTTCATCACGGTTACTTATATTAGTGTGAAAGAGGTGCCTTTTGACTTCAGGATGCTTCATGTCCTGTTTACCTTTGCTTCTAGTTAAAGAGATGCCTAAAGTTCAGGGCAGCAGAAGTCGGTCCCATGTATTTTTCAGCCACTGTGCTTGGCACAGGCTGGTAGGTTGGGGAAGGTGAGATCTGGTGTCTCTTGGATAAAAATGGCTTACTTTAGTCTTAAGTAAGGGGAATTTCAATCTAAACATTCCCCCTGTCCTTTTTAAGACAACTGAAGAGCATCGGAGCAGAAAAGCAGTGTATTAACCACTCTACCAAGAGCTTGGTTATAAACTCTTTTGGGCTAAAAAAAAGAAGAAAAAAAAGTTAGTAGCAAAACTGTAATGGTGCATCTCTCTAAGTCTGCAGGGCTCAAATTGCCGCCTCCTCTTCTTCTTCCCCACAACCGCTGCAGCAAAGCTGGATGCTTCTGAGGTAGATAACCACAGAGCAACGTTTATTTCCCATGGTCAGTAAAGCAGGATGGGAGGACTCAAACCTGCTCCTGCTCTGCCCAGGGACCACAGGCAAATCACTCCTCCGCTCCTTTGCATGCTTTGTACCCTAGAAGATTCACAGCAGTGTGTGCAAGGAAGCCTTGTCTCAGTGGGAGCCTCTATATACTACTCTAACATTAACAGTAGTAACAGTTAAGGGCTACAGAAACCCCATATTAACTGTTTCCTCCCCTGGACACTTTGGAGCTGGCTGTGCTCTGTAGGCAGACTGTGGCAGTGACAGAGGAGGAAGTGTGAGCCGTAGGCTGGTGCCAGATAGGCAGTGGACTCCCTTGTCTTATTCATGACCCTTTTAATTTATAGATTTCGCTTGTAACCACCATAGCCATACTTGAAAGTAGCATTTCCTCCCTCAGCATGCTCAGCGTTATTAATAACTTTGTGGATTCCATGCGTTCCCTAGACATGGAGAATGTTCCCTGGTTTCCGAAGAAGATCTCAGATTTGGATAAGTGTGCAAACCGAGTGCTGATGTACGGGTCCGATTTGGATGCTGACCATCCAGTAAGTATCTTTTCCTCTCCTATGCTCAGTCCTTAGTGAAAACGTACTTTGTGGAGCTTTAAAAAAATTGCAGCTTTTCCTCCTCCCTCTCCTTCCCCTCAACAGTGCCTCTGTGGGTCTGAGCACCCTCTCTTGGGAGTTTCGTGTTTTTTTCCTAGTTCAGGCAAGGTTGTCACTGAATTCAGCTCCCGTGCCTTTCTGCAAGGCTTACTTGTGCAAGGACTCCAGGTCTGGGCCCTGAGTGGTTGCACACAAATTTAAAAAAAAAGCAAAACTGTTGTGAGGCAGGTGTGGTTCCTCTTCTTTCTTTCTTCCTTAATATAAATGGAGCAAACAAATTGGTACTTGGGCAGTGCAAGTGGGCAATTGGTCCTGTAATTTAGAATAATCAAGCAAGTAACAAAGTTTGCGTAAATATCGATATGACTAAAATGAATCCTTGTCTTCTGAATATATAGTTGCATGCATAAAACCGTTGATCCTTACTTTGAATTGGAGTATTTGCTTAGTTCACAGTTATTAAACACTTCAGACTATAGCTATGAGGTTCCTGCCCTGTCATCTCATTCTTACACAGAATACTTTTATATTTCCCAACTGAAGAAATTTCAAGTGTCTTGTTTTAAATTATTTACTACAGTTTGGAAACTCATTTAACTTTGTTTTTCCCCTTCCCTCTCCCCCAGGGTTTCAAAGACAATGTCTATCGTAAGAGGAGAAAGTATTTTGCAGACCTGGCTATGAACTACAAACAGTAAGCTCAACTTCCTCCAGAATAAGCCTTCTGGGTGCTTTGAAATAATAGCAGAGTGGACTGGCAGGAGCGCACATTCCCTGGGCTCAGATCTCTCCGAGATGTGCTTGGCTCAGGAATCGGAGCAGGAGGGGTAAAACGCAGGGAGATGTGAGACAAGATTAGAAGGTAGATCTAGGCCATCTTACAGCTCCCCAGGCCTCTGATCAGTCTGGGGATCAACTCGTGGTTGCTTGGCCATTATGGCACCTGCAGCAGTGCTGATCCTCAGATGGGGCAGCGATGCCAGCGTGAGCTTCCTGCAGTGTGGTGCATTTGGACTCTGCGGTCCCTCCCCGTTTCTCTGGAAATGGGTGCAACAAAGGAAGAGGGTGGACAATGCATGTTGTACAGCTGCCTGTGCCAGGATGTACTGGCTTGACTAGGGCAGACTGGTCTCCTTTGCGAAGGAGAGGGAGGGGAGGCAAAATCCAATATATAGCCCATTAACCACTGAGTGTAAACTCTCTGGGCAGTTGTTAATACTAGAGTTTTCTTTCCTGGTTTAAACTAGTGCATGTGATGTGTAGATAAGAAGTTTTCTGTGAAAAGAAAGTTGAAGAGCTTCTGTCTTTAGAGCTGCTGCTTGGGGGAGGGAGCTCTTAAAGCACTAAGAGTTTCATAGCCCAGTGCTGTAAATCATTTTAGAGTCATTCTATGATTCTATGAAATTCTTTCTAAACGTGATTTTCACGTTGCTGTTGCCTGCTTGAATTTAGATGCCAAGTTCCTCAATTGGAAATGACCTAGAAAGGGTGGGTATCTAGAGCTCTGTTGCACTGTGTATTAATGCAACTGGTTACCACACAACAGAGCTGGTTACTGTTAATGTGTTGTTAACAGAGATTCCCTTGGGAAAGCATCTGCCATGCTCAGTGTAACACTCCCGTAGCTTTCAGTGGGCTTTAGGTCACACCCTTGCTATAATCCACTTTAATCAAGATCCCGAGGGCTCAGTAGGAGAGATGGACTACAATTAATATGTTCAGACAGACACTTGTTTCCTCTGCAAAGAAGCATGATTTTACCTAATGTGTATATTTAGCTGCTTCCACATGTTGTGTTATTAATTTAGGGAATTCTCTTTTTCTAAAAGAAATCAAAAAGTTAACAGAAATTAATTGTAGACAGGGAAAAGGGTGTGTTCTCAGCCTCTGAAGCTCTAAAGGTTTTGCAGGTATTTTAAATGTTACTCTCAGCATTAAACACCTAAAAAATGGTTTACAGGACCAAAGCTTTCAGGCTCCAGTGAGGTCAATGCAAAGATTCCTGTTAGTTGTTTTAGGTGGAGAAGAGAGCAAGCTCTTTGACTAAAGGGTCTCCAGGGCGTAGACCAGATCTCGCTGTATATTTGACAGTGCTGAATGCGATAGGGTCTTAACCCTGACCAGGTATCACAGCCATATAAATGTTAAATAATAATAATCATAATAGTAAGTGAGTGAGTCATCTGTTATTAGCCATTTACCAAGGAATGTCCTTTTTTCCTCTCCCCCTTGTAGTGGTGACCCAATTCCCAAGATTGAATTTACTGAGGAGGAGATCCAGACTTGGGGGACTGTGTACCGAGAGCTTAACAAGCTTTACCCAACTCATGCCTGCAGAGAGTACCTTAAAAACTTACCCTTGCTCACCAAACACTGTGGGTACAGGGAAGACAATATCCCCCAGCTGGAAGATGTGTCCCGCTTCCTGAAAGGTAATGTACTAATTTTCTTACACAAAAAGGAACTAAGGTCTGTTGCAAATCACGCTGCTATTATATGGGCATAAAAAACTATCCTTGGTCACTTTTGCTTGTATTCATTCTGGTCCTTCAAGAGGCCTTTTGCCATCAGTGTTTTAATGTATTGTGTCTTAAACATATGCAAACAGTGACATTTGAGGGGCAATGCCACTGCTGAAGAGATAATGAGTATTGGCTACAGATACCTAGCTGTATTGTGTTGGCCTGTCTAGGTATGAAATCATAGGAAATCCACCTATACAGAGGTAGGGACATGTTTACTAAATGTTGGTCATTCTCAGGCTTAGGTCTAATTTTTCTAATCACACCTAATTTTCTCAAATGCTCTTGAGCCAAGGTAGTGCTGTGGCTTTTACTCCAGTTGTAGCAGGAAAGGTGACAACATTTTGCAGTTCTACACTAAACTAATGTACAATTTCTCCGTTCCTTTTCAGAGCGCACAGGTTTCACCATTCGCCCCGTTGCTGGATATCTATCGCCTAGAGACTTCTTGGCAGGATTAGCATTCAGAGTTTTTCACTGCACTCAATATGTTAGACACAGCTCAGACCCTCTCTATACACCAGAGCCGTGAGTCATTTAACCTTGGGGTAGAATTTGAAAGAGAGTGAGTTTTTAATTTTGTTGCCCAGAGCCAAGCTACTTAAAAGCTGTTCAAGAACAGCAGCGAGAAAACTTTTTTCTTTTTAAGGTGCTGAAGTAATGAAGTTTTAGAATGCTCAAGTGCCACCTTCATAAGTACGGGATTGTCAAAAGTACAGCGTGTTATTGGAGAGCTCTTACTGATGTCATTGTGCGCAGAGTTAGTTTAATATTCAGTTGCCTCATAAATGTGGAGCTCAGATGTTAATTTTAGACAGCTTAATTTGAAAGTCTGAGTTTATATACTTATGTAGAGCTGGTATGACCTGCTCAATTGCTTTCAGCTAGACATGATTGGCACTTTTCTGTCTTTTGGATATTAAATAGTTTAACACAAGACATTGTATCTGTTCAGTGGTGCTGCTTTTTTCACTCTACCAGGAAGACAGATCATGAGATTTCTTGTTTTGCTTCTTTTTCCAGTGATACCTGCCATGAGCTCCTAGGCCACGTCCCTCTTTTGGCTGAACCCAGTTTTGCTCAATTCTCCCAGGAAATTGGTCTTGCATCACTTGGGGCATCAGATGAGGCTGTCCAAAAACTGGCAACAGTGAGTGTTTCAGTGCCTGGTGATTCCATTGAAAGCTTTTTGTGCTTTACTAGGCTGATCACTCCCATCGAATAAATTTGGAGCTTCATATCAACCTTAGCCACACCAGCTGCTAGACCTATGTGTTTCACTGGCTCTTGGCTTTTAGAGCATATAACAATTTTCCATGCTAGGAAAAAAATACATTTTAAGGTTGATATGATTGGTATTTTTCTTCACTTGGCTGTCAAGGAAGGGTGCAACTTCTGGTGGTAGATCACTTCTTCCAGATTGAAATTCTGTGGTCTGTTTCTTCCAAACAAAATCTCTTTACTTCTGGGAACATGATCCAGTGATTTTAAAAGTAATCGATTTCTTTAATGTGTAGAATGAATTGAAATGATACGGTCTTTTCCCTGAATGTGGTGAGCACTAGCATTAGATACTTTTCAGCCAAGAAATTCAAATAATATAAATAAATCTTATTTCCTGGATATCAGTTTCTGGGTGCTTTGGCAAAAATATTTTAAGATGAAAATTAAATTTAGATGAAAAAGAATTGATGCCAGTTATGAAAGAACTGGTTTGCTGATATGTTAAAAATATTTTTTCTCACCTGGTGTAGCTAGTGGTAAAATTTCGATTACTCTCAGTGGGAGCAGAATTAAGCCATCTATGAAAGTAGCGTTCCTGCCCATATACCTGCAGAAATCCTGAAATCAAGCAAACTAAACATCTTTAATTTTACAGGCCACTAAGCAAATGAGGAACAAACTGTAGTGGGCTAATATTTTCACTCACTTACAGAGATCCTCTCTATCCAGTGTTTCTTTTAAGCTGAAGCCATCATGTCCTGACAATATTTCCTGAAACAGACTTAGGTCTCCGTGTTCCTATTGACATGAACAGCTTCTAGCCTATTTGGGTGATCTGTAGTATCAATCTTTCTTATGAGAAAAGTGCAATCCTGTGGTTCTTCACCTTTCCATTCTGGCTTCCCTCCTGTTTAAATATCTGAGAAGGATAACCAAGTGATGACTGATATTTGCAACCATTCGACACTACCTACAGATAGAAATGCCCCTATCTAGTTCACCACAGCATCTTTGCTGAAGGCTGAATTATTTTACTCCCTTCTCTGTTTCAGTGCTACTTCTTTACTGTAGAGTTTGGCTTGTGCAAGCAAGAGGGACAGCTACGAGTTTATGGGGCTGGCTTGCTCTCTTCAATCAGTGAGCTCAAGGTAAGAATATCTACTGCTTGTATACCTCTTTTCTTTCTTTGTACCTGATTATTATTGTCACTGTTTTGCCCTGTTTTTTATGAAGTATAATTCTAAAAATCCTTATTTTGAAAGCTCTTAGATACCTACTAGACTTTAAGTAAATTCACTGTGGCAGTAATGATGGGACAGTCTGCTTTTGGATATACGCTGAGCAGCTTCCACATCTTTTGCAGGAAGCATTAGATGATTGGTATTTCTTAACATTAGGTTCCAAGTAACTATTTTCAGAATAAAGCTCTGCTGGTTTAACCAGATTCTGAAAATAATTGCTCTTGTTTACACAAGCCTTGTGTCTGAGGAATCCCTTTTTTGACCCAGATTGCCAGAATATGACGGTTCAGAGTTAGTCCTTTTGTTAAGCTTTGACTGCTGTTCATCTGCAGATAAAAATTTTAAGAAGCAATGCACTGAATATGGTCTCACTTAATCTTTTTTTATTCACTCTACCTCATGTCATCTTCCTTGTGGATTATTTGGGTGGTGATGCTCCTCTGACACTTAATAACACATTATGTTACCAGCACTCGCTCTCTGGCAGTGCCAAAGTCAAGCCTTTTGATCCAAAGGTCACCTGCAAGCAAGAATGCCTCATTACAACTTTCCAGGAGGTTTACTTTGTTTCTGAAAGTTTTGAAGAAGCAAAGGAAAAGATGAGGTACAAATTTTTTTCCCTTGTCTATAATAACAGGCTTGATTTCATGCATCTCTCAGTAGCAGCATCAAACGCTTTTATTCTTACCACAGTTTTATAATTATCTTTCATGGTGTTCGAAAGCCGAGATTAGTATTTGCTTGGTCTTCCGTGTACTGGGTGGGAAAGATGATGAACTATATAACAATTACAACTGTTTTTAAGGAAGTAGTTTAGAGAAGTGGTTATTGATACTGACTGCATACAGAGGATGCATTTGTGTTTTGTTTATAACTCCCTCTCTTTTTTTACTTGAATAGAGAGTTTGCAAAAACCATCAAGCGCCCATTTGGCGTGAAGTACAATCCATATACTCAAAGCGTGCAGATCCTGAAAGACACGAAGAGCATTGCCAGTGTGGTGAATGAGCTACGTCATGAGCTGGACATTGTCAGCGATGCCCTCAGCAAGATGGGCAAGCAGCTGGAAGTTTAACACCCCATCAGCAGTGCGGTGCACTCGGCAACTCTTTTCCCTACTGATTTCTTTCTAGGCATGTTATGTGTTGTATGCAGAAATCTCTCCTTTACAAATGGAAGAGTGAATGGCCCATAAGATAATCACTTTTTCTTGTTTCTCTGTGTAAAGTCCCCTAGAGAATGTATTTCTCCATCCCCCTTGGATAAAAAAGGCCCAGAGTTGCCTTTGAGAAGCTGGTGGGAGAGTAAAGAAATTGCTAGACTGGAGCAAAAATGTGGTCTGTGGATCAGGGCTGGGATCAGATGCTACAGAAGGTGGCTTGTGGGGCAAAAATAGAATAATCGCCACAGGCAAATGTCCATTTCTGGCTCTAGTAGTCTACGCTACTAATCCGATAGCATTGCAGACTTTATAGTGTAGAAACTATAGTGATCAGTCCTTCTATGTCTGTGCTACTAAGTTTAAAACTTGAATGATTACAACACACGCATCAGGATGCAAATAGCTGGAGGTTCACCATGATAAAATTGAGGGGAGATATCTTGCTTTCAAAGGGATCATTCTTGCCCCCCAAAGAATTTCAAATGGTGCTGTTTGACGTGCTTCTAGTATAAGGCAGAGATACAGAGATGTTGCATGAAATCCTAGTTCTGTTTATTTTAAGAGATTGCTATTGGCTCAGAGTCAGGATTTTTGTTGCTGTCCTTGATATTGGACCTGAGGGAAGACCTTTCCTTATGGAAATACCATTTGCCTTTTTCCTGATTGAATTAATTTAGCAAAAAATATAGCAAGCCATCAGGTACTGCCTTAGCAGAAAGCCTAAAACCATTTCCAAGTTACAATTTAATATTCAAAATAGTTTCATCGGTTCTGAAATAACACCAAAGTTTTAAAATAACAGCCAAAATTCATAGTCTAGTCTGGCTTTTTGTAAGATTAAGTATTGTATTGATTGCTCGGTCACTTTATTGATCTGCACAAGCTGCACAAAGATACATTTTGTTTCTTCTTTACTAGGCCTGAACACCTTGATAGGGAATGAAGCAAATGATACCTGAAAGGCCCAAGCATTTAATAGGAATTCTGTGGCTGTGAATGCAACAAACTACCTTGTAGCATAAAGTATATCTAATTCCAGAGGGTGGGAAGCAGTGTCCTGCTGTATTGTCTTTATCGCATAGTAGCAAACTTCCCAGTTTTCAGAGCTCCGTAGTTTCAAGCATCCTGCATAGCTGTACAAAGCTGCGCTGGCTGCTGTTTCTGCCGACCCTGCCAATGAAATGGAATATACGTACGGGATATGTGACATCTGAATGGAAGATCTGTGATCTGCAGGGTGCATTTAATAGCACGCTAGGCACTGATTCTTCACAGGCAGAGCTTATTGGGAAATCCAGAATTTGTAGCTGTGAAGGTTGCTGGAAAAATGGACTAAAATCTTAAATACATTGGAGATGCTAGTCCAGGATTTTGAGAACTTGAAAGGACTTTCATGAACGTCTGTGCTTGAAAATCGGTTTGAGTTTCAAACGCTTTCTAGTAGGCCACACCTGCTCCATAAGCAATCGCTGGCCCAATCTTTCCAAATATATCCGCTGTTTAAATCAAGTGTCGATGATTTTTTTTTTTTTCTGTGACTATTAACCCACAATAGCTATATTTTTTTTTTTAAAGAACATTTAAGACATAGAAATATGGTCTACAACATTTACTGCTTACATTATACTTTAGAAAGACAAAGCTCCTAAAATCTATTTTGAAGAAGAAACCTTTTAGGTGGTTTCTTCTAAGTGAGGGAGGATCTATTTTGTCTGCTTCTGTGATAACACTTAATATTCAGCTGTATTTTTAAAAATGTTGGGATTATTATGTTGAAATATACATAGATCTGTGTTACTTCAAATCTTTGTCTGAACTGTGTATACATTTCAAGTAGGAAACCTGATACTTGCTAAATTAGCACCTAATTTCAAATACTTTGGAAAACCAGCGATTGTATCTTTATTTGCACTTGTGTAGCAAAAAAATTAAGTAAACTGCTAAAAGTAATAGAGAGAAGATGCATTTCCACGGTATAAACAACACGTATGTTTGGCTTGGCGCATCCAAACCTTCTGGCTCTGTAGAACAGTAATAATTTAAATATTTTAAACTATTGTGGAGGCTTTAAATGTCAATGAAATAAATGACTTGTTGGTAATTATTAGAAGCAAAACCCCCTTTTACTTCAGCACTGTAGCAATAAACACAAAGCACTCACTTCTGACTAAGGGTTTATGTGTTTTGTACTATGGTTCAGATACTCCACACATGTGACTTAAAGCCATTGGGAACTGTATGTATTTATTTGAGGAGCCACTTGTTTCACCCTCTTTTTTTTCTTTTTTAAAGGCTCAGTCTTTTTTTTCCTGTTGAAAGGGGTGTGTTGAGGAACAGTAGCAATAAACACAAAGCACTCACTTCTGACTAAGGGTTTATGTGTTTTGTACTATGGTTCAGATACTCCACACATGTGACTTAAAGCCATTGGGAACTGTATGTATTTATTTGAGGAGCCACTTGTTTCACCCTCTTTTTTTTCTTTTTTAAAGGCTCAGTCTTTTTTTTCCTGTTGAAAGGGGTGTGTTGAGGAACAGTTTCCGAGGCCCTGGCCCCGGCGGGCGCCCCCCCCGCCGTCCGCGGGGCTCTGTCAGCGCCGGGACCGGGCGCTTGGGCTTTTTTGGGGAGGTTTTCGTGAAAGCGGCAGCCAGAGCCGGAGCCTGCCGGCGGAGCCCAGGTAACCGCGGCCCGGG